ATATATATAGGTATATCATAAAAGATGTAAGTGCTGAAGTCCACAGTGCCTTATGTGTGTGTGTGTGTTTATATATATATATTTATTTATTTATCTGAATTACCAACCTGTCAGTAAAAATTTCTCAGGAGAGGTTTGATGTGAAACATAGTTCTAATGCAAGAAAACATTAAAATAAAATATACCTGACTTTCTGAAGCCACCACATCTTCATCTTCAGCACTTTCATATTCACTTGCCCCTGCTTCTCTCGTTCCTTCCACAGCTACAGTTTTCTCTCCTTCACTTTCCTACAATCAAAAAGAAAAAACATATCTTTAGCAACACAGCCTATATAGTACACAAATGTACAGGGTTTTCAAAAATAAATGCTATTTCCTATACTAACTTAGAATGCCATATGGTTCACCTCATCAATTTTATGTAACCAAACATCCCTATCAGTCAGTTCAGTTGCTCATGGTGCTTGGACGACTCAAACGTTACAGAATGAATTGTAACGTTACAGTAGGGAAGAAATTCAACCTCAGCTATAATACAGGGAGTTAACAACAACAAAAAGGAATATGAAAACATTACCATCCATAAAAACTTGTGCAATCATTAACCACAACATGTAAAATATGTACAATACTGTGCTGATGGCACACTCATTTTGATATTAGCACTAATGCTGTCTTTAATGTGCTACAACAGAAGAGGTAAAACACTAATGATACACAGGTAAGAAAGTGACAGAGACACTGATGAGGCTTGTCCATGCTATTTATCTCTTCTCCAAAAACTAATGTTAGGCTAAAATGGTGAAATTAAAACCAATATGGCAAGGTGTTTGGTGAAAGTAAGCCCTACAACCCTATCTGTATTGATCAAGCCTATTTATCATTAGTTACCTAATTAACCTCATTATATAATGAGATTCTTGCCTTCTGAGATCCTGACTGATAAAGTACCAATACAAGCAGGATGGCAAATTATGTGAAGTGGAGTTTCTTATAAATAGTTTAGCATGTATTTATGATAACATACAAAATGACATTCATCATATTTCTTATTTAACTACTGTTTAATGTCCTAACAATAAAATCAAACATCTTAAATGGAAAGAATATGAACAATCAAAGCTGGAAAAATGTAGCATGAAAGTAAAAAAGCAAAATGTGGAAGATACATCATAAAATAATATTACTTCAAAAGTAAAAAAAAAGCAAAATGTGGAAGATACATCATAAAATAATATTACTTCCGTTTAACATGAGTCAGTCACACATCAGTTGCATAAAGTAAAACATAAGCATATTTATTGAAAAACAAATAATTTTATAAAGTGTAAAGGATAGGCACACTCTTGTTTTTAATAAGACTTTTTCAACTTTTTACCTCATAATTAGATTTAATGGTCAGTCCCCACCAAAAAACATCATAACTTAGTATATTTTGCTGTATTATGATATACAAGACACACATTGTATAACTTTACATTATGGAGTCAATAACTTACTTAAATCATGGTAAAAACACAGAGAAAATACAACAATCAGCTGATATTTGTGTGTATGTGGGTGCCTCGCATCATCTGCTGGATGGGACCTCAGGTGAGAGATTGTTTATACTTTTGTTTCCCCCTCCCAGATTTCAGCACACCCAGCTCATGGAGTGTTGTCACTTTCCATTGTAGAGGGAAAAATTTATTGATGGCCATGGAGAAAAGTCTATCTCTGCTGTCAATGACAATTAATCTTTCGTCGACTATAGTCGCTTTCCACAATGAAAGGGTTAAATAGCTTTGTGTTTTTCCTTTATTATCTTGTGCAGCTTCTTCCTAAAATTGTAGCTACTTACAGTTGATAGAGCCATATTACTTAATACTTATTTTATCAGTTTCATTACTTTCTTTTACACACATGATAAAAGAGCATTTTCTTTCAAATCTCTCAGCAACAATGAGAAGGTAGATAAATAAGTATCACATTTTATATTTTAGGAGGTAAATCAAAGGACAGACTATGCACCAGCACGCATTTTTCTATTTCATTCACTTACTGTGATGATTAATTTTTTCACCACCTGAATTACTAGCAACACAACCTCGATGGCATGATGACTTATCCACCACTATGCCAAGCTCCCTTACTTGATAGTCATGCAATTGAGTAGATTCCCATCTATAACAAACTTGTGAACCAAATTAAGATAAATGCATTATCTTGCATGTACTACAATTAAAGGTCATTTGCTGCACATTTGTCCAACTAAACAACTGATCCAAGTAATTCTGCAGTATCCCAACATCCTCATACAGCTAGAAATACCCAAGATCCAATATCAGGTTTTATTAAATTACTAATTCTGCTACTATCAATATCATAACATATGGACAATAAAGAAACATTTGGTTTTCCAAAGCTGACCCTGCACGTCACACTTGAGGAAAGCATAAACTTAAACCCACCTTTTCTAGAATTATCTATATTTGTCATTAGTCATGTGTAACTAAAGATGTGGTGTACTAGTAATTCACAGTATCAGTATTAGATAACAATGTTCTGGGACAACGTGGGACCTATTGGTCCATCTCGGCTGTACCATCCTCTAAAATAAACTATAATGAATCAAATAAAAAAAAACATCTTAAAGCCAGCCCTTATCATTTACATACTTATCAAGCTTTCTTTTAACCTCACTTAAATTTACTGCCCGCACAACATCCGAAGATAACACATTCCAAAGGCCAACCACCCTGTTAGAAAAATAAAATTGTCTTAAATGAAGATGACTCCTACCCTGCCAAAATTTATACTTGTGTCCCTTAGTCCTACTATTTTCACTGTTGAGTATGAAAGAATGATGCATCAATACCTTAATATCATCTGCAAATTTAAGTAATTTATTGGCCATTTCTTCATCTATGTCACTGAAGTAAATCAAAAAGAGCAAAGGTCCTTAGACTGAGCCCTGAGGTACTACACTTGTTACATTAATCCAGTTTGACTGAACTACATTTGTAACAACCCTCTGCTTTTTTACATCCAGCCATTTTTCTATCAAATTTGTTATCTTATCCCCCACACCTAAAGAGATATTTTTTTAAAAGCCTTTTATGTAGAATCTTATCAAATGCTTTCTGAAAATCCAGATACCCTAAATCTAAACAAGCAGTAACATTTTCAAAGAATGTTAAAGATTTTCACTTAGTGAAACCATAAAATTATAAACTTTGTTAAATGACTTTGCAAAACTTTTCCCACAACTGATGTAAGACTAATGGGTCTATAATTACTGGGATAATTTTTATCACCTCCCTTGAAAAGAGAAGTTACATTAGCTAACTTCCAATCCTCTGGTACCTGCCCACTATTCAAGGACTTACAAAAAATAGTAGCAAGTGGCTCACATATCCAATCCTTAACCTCCTTCAAAACTCTTGGGGAAATATTATCTGGCCCAGGAGCCTTATCATTCTTTAAACTTTCACTTTACAATTTTTTCTTAACAAGTTTGGAATTAATGCAGTCATCTTGTTCAATCTTGTTTCCATCCATCAACTGTTCAAGATGTGAAATTCTGCTTAAATCTTCGTTAGTAAAAACTGAAGAAAAAGCAAAATTATCATCAGATACTTTATCATCTCTCAAGGGTCCTACCTCATTCTAACATTTTGTTTATCCTTAATGTATTTAAAGAAATTCTTACTGTTAATTTATACATTTTCAGCCAACCTTTTCTTATATACATCCTTTTTGATGTCCTAATTTCCAGTTTCACCAACTTTCTTGACTTTCTATAATCTTCTAAATCTCCTGTCATACTAGTAGTTGAAATTTCTTAAATTTATGATGCTTTTCTTTAATTTTCTCTCCTATACTCTTTCTGAGCCAATTTGGATTTTAATTGCAGCTATCCCTTTTCTTTCTATAATGAATGTTTACCTTGAATATTTAAACATTTATAAAATTTTCCCACATCTGATCAGTGCCTCCAAATAACTCTGCTGCCCAATTCACAACAGATAATTTTTGTCGCATCCCTTCAAAATTTGCTTTTTTGAAATTTATAACCAAATTATCATTATTCCTCGTCTCCGTATGCAGCAAAACATTGAACCTAATAGAGCAATGATCATTTGCACCCAGATGTTCCCCAATTTCCACCCTCTCAATCATTTCTCTATTTGAGTTAACAATAAATCTAAAATAGCATTGTTTCTAGTAGGTTCTTTGATTAATTGTTGGAGAATGCCATCTTCAAGAGTTTCCAAAAACTTTTCTCCCTATAGTTCGACTCTAGCATTTCCCAATCTTTATGCTTTAAATTAAAATCACCCATAATTATGACTTCATTAACAGCTGAAAGTTACATTTTCCTAAACTGAAAATGTATTTCCAATAGTACTTACTTCTGCTGACACTTTAACTATCCCTCAACACTGGCTTTGCCTATCTAATCATTGGCCTCGCATGCTCCAGTCTTTTATACCTCACTTAAATGCCCTAGGCAATATCTACTTTGCAAATCTCTCCACCCAAATCAATGCACCCTCTATCCTGGTACTGTATATAAGCACCTCACTCACATGATGTAATCAATTTTTCAAGACTTACACTTTCCCAGTCACTAACACTGGCTCTTAGTGGGGAGGAAGGGTGGGAGTGTCAGTGGTAGTAAGTAATATTGGAAATACATTTTCAGGTTATGAAAATGTTAACTTCCAAAACACTTACCTCTGCTAACACTTTAGTAGGATCCACATTGAAAAGGTGGAGGGGCTGGTGCAGGCATTATCCATACAGAAAGCATCTGCATAGAACAGGGGTTTACCAAAATAAGAGTGGTACCCAGGTTGGGGAACCACACTACATCAAGAACAGGTATGCTCTTCACCCTTTTCTTTTTAGAACTTAATACCTGTATCAAGGGTGGAATAATACATGAGTAATCACTATAGGCCAGCCCCAACCAGATAGCCAAGGTTCCACAACTCAGGGTTGGAATTAAGGGGTTTTGGTCCCTATATCCCACATTGGTGGAGAGGGCAATTGGACTGAAATGTTATATATAGATATAGTTGTGATTGGATCCCAACCTGTAGCCATAGAGTGATACTTTCTGAATCACTGGAATTACAATGAAAAAGGAAGCAACATTAACGTGGACAAACTGAAGAAGACTGAAAGGCATCACCCCAGGCTCGGAATGACAGGATCATGTATGCCTTACTCAACCAAAGGAACAAAATAATTCCAGTCTGGAATTATAAACATTCATCCTCACTCAACTGGATAGCATAGTGTCAAATCTG